CGTCGAGGGTCGGCTGCGCGCCACCCCTCACTCCTCCCTTCGTCCGGCCACCGAGCCCTTTGAGACTCTCCACTTGGACGTCTGGGGCCCCGCCTCTCGCCCTGGCCTTGAGCGAGAGAGTTTCTTTCTGGTGGTCGTAGACGACTACTCTCGCTACACCACCGTGTTTCCTCTGGCGAAGAAGTCTGACGTGACTTCTACGCTGATCCGGTGGTTACTCACTACTGAGGGCACTCGTGGCCGTCGTGTCAGTTGTCTTCACTCCGACCGTGGGGGTGAGTTTCGCTCCGGCGTTTTCACCAGATTCTGTTGCGAACAGGGCATCCGTCAGTCCTGGACGCTTCCAGAGTCCCCACAGCAGAATGGGGTTGCTGAGTGCCGCATAGGCTTGGTCATGGAAATCGTACGCACCTCCATGATTCACGCCCGTGCGCCCCATTTTCTGTGGCCCTACGCGGTTCGGTACGCCACTCACCAGTTGAACCTCTGGCCACATGTCTCTCGGCCAGGGGCTTCACCGACCAGTCTTTGGACCGGGTCCCCTGGTGATGCGTCGCGCTTTCGTGTCTGGGGCTGCTTGGCACGTTTTCGCGACACCTCCGCGGACAAGATCTCGCCTCGCGCCATTCTCTGTGTCTTCCTTGGTTTCCCTGATGAATCGTCTGACTTCAGCTTCTACCACCCTCCCCTTCACCGGTTCTTTGACTCCCATGATGTCCGTTTTGACTAGTCAGTCCCCTACTACACCCGGTACCCCTGTCGAGGTCTCCCGGTTCCTCCTCCCCTTCTCTTCCTGACTCCCACTCCCCCTCCGGCTCCTCAGGTACACCCTTCGGCTCCTCAGGTACAGCCTCTCCCCCCTGTTCCAACCTCGTCAGGTGTGTCACACACTACCCCCCCCCCCCCCCCCCCCCTCGGTAGCCCCTCAGGTCTCGTCCCCTTCTCCGCAGTCCTCCTCACAGTCACCGCAGCAGCTGTCAGCACTTCCTCAGGAGGCTGCTGCAGACTGTGAGGGTGCTGGTGTCTGAAGCGCGGACCCTGGAGGTGTTGGCGTTGGAGCTGAGAGTGTGCCTGCACGAGGTTCTGGTGCTGGGGGGGCTGGAGTTGGAGCTGAGCCCGGGTATGCAGGAGGTTCTAGTCTTCAAGGAGTTGGTGTTAGTCGAGCTGTCCCTGGGGGTGCTACGACTGGGGGTGCGGGTGCGCCCTCTGCTGGACCTGGAGAGCCTGGGACTGGCCTTGTTGCTGCGGGTGGTGCTGGCTCTAGGAGTTGGTACTTTGGAGAGTGGTCCTGGGACTACCACCGCCCCGAACACTACTCCTCCCCCCCACCCCTACCCGACCCGGCACCAGACTCGTCTTTGCCGTGCACGTGAGGAGCAGCTGGAGTTGGAGCGAGAGGAGCTGGAGTTGGAGCGGCAGCAGCTGGAGCTACAGCAGCTAGAGGAGTAGCAGCAGCCATGGTAGGAGCAGCAGCCACAGCAGCAGTCGCCGCGGCAGGAGCAGCAAGAGCAGCATTAGCAACCGCCGCAGCAGGAGCAGCAGCAGCCGCCGCCACCTCCGCCTCCTGTCTCTGGCCTTCGAACCCTCGGTCTCCCCTCTCCCTCTCCTCCCTCCTCCCCCTCTCCTCCTGTCTACGGTCCCACGTTTCCTCCTCCTGACTCCACCCTAGCTTTTTTCCCCTGTTCTCAGCCTTCGTTGACCCCTCCTCTTTCTCACATCTGGGCTTCTCGCTCTCCTCGTGCTCGTCCTTCGTCCCCTGTCCCTCTCACTGACCTTCGTATTATCCTGTTCCATCCTAGTCCGCCTCGTTCGTCTCCGTCTGTGCTTCCTTCTCCTCCTAAGTCGGCTATCACTGCTTCCCTCTCTACTCCTGTCACTGACTACTACCGCACGTACCGTCCTGTTCTCTCTCGTGTTCTTGCCTCTCTTGCTACGGACCCTCGTGCCTCTCTGTCCTCTGTCTCTTCCCTTACTGCCTCTGTCACTGAGTTCGCCACTACTCGCCGCCTTGACTACGCCACTTGTCTCGTGGCTGCTCCTCCTACCAGTCCTCTGGCCGTCGAAGGTGAGTCTGCCCTTGGCTGTGACGCCCTAGAGGACAGGCAGTTTGAGCTGGAGTTCCTGGCAGCCGCTTCCCCTCATCTCTGTGCCATGCTGCTCGCCCCTGAAGGAGACCCCGACGCCCATGAGATACCGACTCCTTGCACTTACGATGAGGCAGTGTCAGGGCCTTGGGCCTCTCAGTGGAGAGCTGCCATGGACTTAGAGATGGCCTCCTACAGATCCACAGGCACCTACGTCGACGAGGTTCCCCCCCCTGGGGCGAACGTAGTCGATGGCATGTGGATCTTTAGGGTGAAGCGGCCACCGGGATCTCCTCCGGTCTTCAAGGCGCGCTATGCGGCTAGAGGTTTCAGTTAGCGCGAGGGAGTTGACTTCTTTCATACATTCGCGCCTACCCCGAAGATGACCACTCTTCAGGTGTTACTGCACGTAGTAGCACAGAGAGACTACGAGCTACAGTCTCTCGACTTCTCCACTGCCTTCCTTCAGGGTAGCCTACACGAGGAGGTCTGGTTGCGTCGTCCCTCTGCCTTCACTGGCACTTTCCTTCCTGGGACCCAGTGGAGGCTGAGGCGACCGGTCTACGGTCTCCGTCAGGCTCCTCATGAGTGGCACGACACCCTTCGTTCTACCCTGTCTGACCTCGGTTTCCAGCCGTTGTCTGCCGACCCGTCGCTGATTGTTCGTCGTGGCTCCACACCGTTATTTGTACTGGTCTACGTCGACGACCTGGTTTTTGCCACTGCTGACAGGGTTGCTTTGGCTGACGTGAAGCGCGAACTGCAGAAGAGACACACGTGCACTGACCTTGGTGAGTTGCGCCACTAACTTGGCCTGCATATCACCAAGGACAGAGCCGCTAACTTGGCCCGCATATCACCATTACACTCTCACACTCACACATGGTGCAGCAGGTCCTTCAGCGGTTCGAGCTTCAGCACTCCACAGTACAGTGCACACCTCTTGCTGTTGACCACAGACTCACTGGACCCTTTCCTGATGAGCCGTTTGAGCCTAGTGGTCCCTACGCAGAGCTTGTGGGCTGCCTTATGTACCTGATGACTTGTACTTGCCCGAACGTCGCCTTCCCTCTCAGCATCCTTGCTCGCTTTGTTGCGCCAGGGAGACACCGTCCAGTTCACTGGACAGCTGCTGTGAGGGTGGCGAAGTACCTAGCGACCACATCAGGTGTGGGGCTGGTTCTTGGAGGGAGACAGTCTGTCGTACTTACTGGACACTGTGACTCTTCTTACGCTGACGACGCCGAGACTCACATGTCTACACAGGGGTACTGCTTCAGCCTGGGCTCTGGAGCTGTTTCGTGGAGGTCTACGCGTTCCTCCTCGGTCTCGACCTCTACCGCCGAGGCTGAGATCTACGCTAGAGCCATGGCTGCACAAGAGCTGCATTGGTTGACTTTCTTGCTCACCGACCTTGGTGAGCGGCCGAGCTCTGCACCGACTTTGTTCACTGACAACAAGGCGTCGATTCTCCTCTGTCGAGAGCCGCGACTGGAGAGCACAGTGAAGCACATCAGTGTCAGGTACTTTCTTCTACGAGAGTTGCAGAGGCGTGGACAGGCTCGCTTCGACTTTGTGGGGTCTGAGGCTAACACTGCAGACATCTTCACCAAGGCCCTTCCGCCTTGTGACCACCAGAGGTGTTGTGTTCAGTTAGGTCTCGTTGACACAGGTTCTCGCCTCGCGTAGTCTTGAGTTCTCTGTTTGCCTTGTTTGTATGCTTCATATATACCTCTGTGAACTGGCCTTGTGGATCTTTTGCTTGTGCTCAGATTGTGTGGTGACATTGTGATCCACCCTGAGCTTTGTTGCTTTGTGACTGGTCTTGTGACCGTACGTTGTTGTTTTGCTTGACACCCCTCACTTAGGCTATGGGGGTGTGTCAGATGTTATAGTCTTAGTGATGTGTGTCATATGGGGTACAACAGTTAGGGTTAGGTTTATGTACCCCAACCAACCTTAGTGAAACCATCATTTCCGTTCTTGACACAAACTCACGAAATCGCTCCCGCTGTTGGTTTGGGAACCCCCACCCCCCTCCCGAAACCTTCCGCCACGATTGTTCGTTTCTCCGCAGAGGGGTACTTGTGGAGGAAGGGTTACCTTGTTTTCAACAAGACTAGTGGCGAAGTATGTAGACCGCAGCTTCAACAATTTCCTTCTCATATGAAACATACCGTCTGCATTGTACCAAGACCTTTGCCTCCCGGGCGAAGCATGTAGACCGCAGCTTCAACAATTTCCTTCTCATATGAAACATACCGTCTGCATTGTACCGCATCCTGAATCTATAAAAATTGTTTACGTCAATTGTGTTGCACCTCTAGGTTCTAGGTCCCCTCTGGCACCACATATTCCGCCGCCTTCTGCTGCCACCATCCCAGCCGGAAGGCCCTGCAGTCATCGCAGAGGATCGTGCCTTGCAGATGCAGCGCGCAGCTAGAGAGCAGCTGCGCGATGCGGATCTACCAGTGCCTTCTGATCCTGACCGCACGGGTAGCGAGCGGCACAGGAGAGATGCGGACAAGTTCGGCCCCTCCTGGCCGCTGCTGTGCTGCGCTCTCGCCAGCAAGAGCCTCCTCCGGCAGGTCCTCTCCTTCTCCGTGAGTCAAGAATTCTAGACAATCCGCCCGCACATCCTCTCCTCGGTGAGTCAGGTGAGCGGTTCAGTATAAGGACTCCTCCTGCACGTCCTCTTTTTCCCTGTCGTTTACGTGAGCGATTTTTAGAATTCCTATGAATCTTTCTGCATGTGTACTTTTTCTCTATCAGTCACGTCCTCTCATCTTCCCCATGCAGTCCATCTGCAATACGAATCCATGTTTCTTAAACGCACTGCGTGTGCCTATTCATGTCACCACAAGTTCAAGACCCTTTGTTTTCCTGTACAACCCACCCACGGTGCCTGGTGTCCGGTCACTGCAGGAGAGTCAGCCGATCTCGCTCATCTGCAACCATCATCACCAGCAATGGATGGACGAACTCCGCTTCTTCCTCCACCACGGCGGCCTCCACTCCCTTGACCTGCGCTTCACCAAGCCAGATCACCAGCGCACCCTGGGACCCCTCGTTGCACGCTCCAGCGCCTCGCTCACATCCCTGGATCTGGGGCTGCATGACCGGGCAATGGAGCATGGATGGCAGGATCGATGGCAGGATCGCGAGGCTTTACGCTGGGCTTCCTGAAAGACTGCTCGCAGCTGCAGCAGCTGAAGCTGGGTCGGGGCGAGTGGAAGCTGAATGAGAGTTGTGCGAATGCAGCGTGGATGCAGTCACTGCGCACTCTGACCCTTGCATACATGGATCACATGGCGTTGGGATATGAATTTCTGGACGCCATCACGCCACAGCTCACCGAATTTACTCTCTACGAGTGTCCTTCTAGCAACTGCCTCAGCACCTTCACCCACAGTTTCAGTTTCTCCAATGCACACACCCTCCGCTTCCTCTTACCGAACATCACGCTCAAACTGACTCTCAACCTCCCACCCTCCCTCACGACCCTCTCTGTCATGACCGACTGTATCGATCTAATGTGTCATTCGGACACCCTTCTCGCTCTCCACCAGCTCCTTCTCTACGCCCATGTCCGCCTCTGCACCCCCTCCCTCTGCACCCCCTCCCTCTGCTTCGCATCTGCGAGGGTTGTCTATTTGAATGCTCCTGGGGGAGATGACTAGTACGGTTCGCTCTTGGAGCCACCTTCATGCAGGGGACACCTTCCCAATGCCAGCTTGGAGCTCTCCTGGATGAGCTGGCTTCGTATGATGCTTATAGCGAGGTATGATGTCCCTTTGACTGGAATGGATGTCGAGTGGAGCAGCCTGCGCAGCCTTGGGATTGTCGTGGAGATCACAGAGCTGGATGATATTTTTGGGGAGACTTCAGTGGAGGAAGTTTCTTGTATGAATGAGGAGGACAATCAGGAATATTTTGATGAGTTCGGATATGACGACGACGAGGATGCTGACCCAGAGAAGGTGATTCCTCCTCCTTTTCTTATGGCCCCAAACCTTCAAGCCCTATTCTTTCCAGGCGAGGAGTCTGACGCAGAGACCTTGGCAACGCTAAAGCACAATTACCCATCCTAGAAAAAGGGCGGGGATTTGGATGGTCGGCTAGACACGAGGAAATCATTTAGGACAGTGAGGGAAAAGATGCATAGTGTGAATAAGCAGCTGATAGAGGGTTACAGTGTGCATGATGAAGAGTCACGTATGCTCGAGTATGTCAGGCATGCATAGGAGCAGCTGCATGAATTGTAGTGTTGACAGATGAGCCTTCACTTAGGGATACGCTGCCGCGAATATGTACATATGTGCAAACCACCTGATTACTGGTAGCACACACACACAGTATTGGTAACATGCAGCTCCACTAAACTGCACCTTTTTCAAAAATGGGAAAATCCCAAATCATGACACTCTGCTTTGGCACACAGCACAGCACTGTTGGGCTGCAGCAATTGAAGCGACACCAAACACTCTCAGCTATATACATTTATTCAGAAATGTGGTGCTCAGTTTTGAGGGTTAAAACGATTGCAGAAAGGGTGGCTGGAACCAGGTTACCAGGGCACTAGCAGAAAGAATGCGACGTGGAGGGAGAGCCAGCGCTGCTCTGCTAGGAAGTGGCATTGACTGAGAGAACAAGCACTGCTCTGCTGCAGCACGCGGCCAGTGGTGATGAGATTCGAGTCAATAAGATTGCAGAAAGGGTGGCTGGAACCAGGGCACTTGCAGAAAGGATGCGATGTGGAGAGCCAGCGCTGCTCCGCTAGTGACAAGCGAGAGCCGAAGGAGAGGGTCTCGCCGCCCGCCATGGTGAGCTGGCAGAACGTGGTTGGTGGAGAGTGGTGGTGGTGATAGTGGTATTGGCCGTACTCCCATGAGTCGTGCTGATGGTGCTGCAGGTGGGGTGTTGGGTGGAAGGACTGGGGATTTTCAGGCAAATGGAAATCTCTGGGCAACTATTGAAGCAACAGTGGTGGTGGTGGTGGTGAAAGTGGTGGTGATAGTGGTGGCCGTACTCCCAAGAGTCGTGCTGATGGTGCTGCAGTGGGAATTGGGCGGCAAGAAACAGGCTAACTTCGGGCAGATTCAAATCAGTGCACATGCATTCAACAGGTGCTAACAGACAGACAATGTGAATAACAAAAAAAACGACATAGATGATTTAAACGCATGGTGTAATGGACTGCAACTCCATGGCACCTGCAACTCCATGGCACCTGCAAATTCGCAATGAATCGTGCTAGTAAGAGCCATGGAGGGATGAGCCATGAAGGGATGAGCCATGGAGGGATGAGCCATGGAGGGATGAGCCATGGAGGGATGAGCCATGGAGGGATGAGCCATGGAGGGCAGCTCGACTCGAAGATAAGGACTTGCGTGGTGTAGTTGACTCTCGCGCCATGGATGAGAACAGCAGTGTGGGCCAGGACAGGGCAAAGAAGTGCAGAGTCTGCTGTCTCAATGCACATAAAAACGAAGAAGGAAGGAAGGAGAAAGAAAAAAAGGTACCTGCATGGTGTAGTTGACTCCCGCCCCATGGATGAGAGCTGTGTGCGCCGTGGACAGGCCAAAGAACGGCAAAGTCTGCCCTTTCACCATTCGATGAATCGTGAGCTGACACGTGGCGGGGTCCACAGTCACTGTTTCGTCCATGATGTGCCGCAGTAGCACGTGGGCGAGCAGGCTGGCAGGGGAGGGGGAAAGGGGATGTGGAGAGGAGGGGATGGGGGGCAGGGAGGCGTGTGACGATTCATTGAGACTATGACAGTCACTGTCTCGTCCATGATGTGCCGCAGTAGCACGTGGGCGAGCAGGCTGGCGGGGAGGAGGGGGAAGGGGAGGTGGGGGAGGTGGAGGGAGGTGGGGGAAAGTGGCAGTGATTACAAGGCTGTGGGTCGAGCCTCGCGACATTGTCAGAGCAGGACAGGAACACCTTAGGACAGGACAGGCTAAGGGGTTCCTGTGCACACCATAGTGTGCACAGCATCAGACAGGAACCCCTTAGCCTATGATGTGCCACCATAGTGAGTGCGGCAGAAGGTGGAAGGTCTGGTATCAGACAAATGAAAAAACGAAATCAGGGGCGTTGTGGGGACGGTGGTTGGAACTTGGAGGGGAAGGGGAGGGGGAGTGGAGACAGATGACTGCCTGCGTACTAGCCATGGCAGATGAAAATTACTAAAAGAAAAAGAGAATCGAAGAAGATGAAAGGACAGTGGCATGTGTTCATCATCATGTGCGAAGTACTTGGGATGCTTGAGGAAGGTGTACAGAGTCAAAGCGACATGGCTTTAGCTGAATAGAACCCACCCAATGCCCACCGCCCAGAAGGGAATGGAGAAGAGAATGAAGAAGAGGGGAGCCCCAGAAGATGCTGCTGTGGTCGTCCAGAAGGTGACAAAGGCCGTCCAGAACTGTTATGAAACGGATGGTGGGTGGTGGGGAGATTGGGAGGGGAGAGGAACGGAACGATTGTATTGAAGGAAGGAAGGGAGGGACTGGGACAGCATGCTTGCTGCTGCTGTGGATGTCCAGAAGATGACAAATGCCGTCCAGAATTGTGATGGCACGGATGGTGGGTTTGGGTTGGGAGGAAGAATGGAAAAAATGAGGGAGGTGGATGAAGAGGGAGGGAGGGAGGGAGGAAGCGGGAGAGATGGAGGAAGAAGGAGCTTCAGATGCTAGAAACGAAGGGAAATAAACGGCACGCACAATTTTGAAAGACACAAAGCAAAGCAGCATGATGGATTTAGGGCGGAAGGATTGACAGGGTGAAACTCACCAGGGCGAATATGATTTCAGGAAGCGCTTTGAGGGAGAAGTGCTGGGGAGGGATGGTGAAGTGGAGGAGCGTGGGCGAGCGAGAGAAGAGTACACCGGTGCCCATGGGCTGCGCCAGGCCAGGATACGCCACTGGCGTCCCCACTGCTGCACCCCCTGCTGCTGCTGCTGCTGCTGCTGCTGCCGCAACTGCTGCTTCAACGTCAGCTCCAATAAGCGGGGTGGGGGAGTGCGGCGAGTAGGGCTGCGGGGGAAACGGCGCGCTGGCAGGCAGAGGAACGCCGATTTGGTGTGCAGGAGAGAGGAGGGAGGTGAATGGGAGGGAGAGGGAGAACGGGAGGAACGAAGGCGCGGGGGGAGGCATTTGGAAGAACGGCGCGGAGGGGGAGAGAGGCGGGAGGAAGGGGAAAGGCGGAGGGGGAGCAGCAGCGGCACCAATAGGACCAGCAGCAGCAGCAGTAGAAGGATATGGCGTGCTAAGCGGAGGGTGGGAGGAGGAAGCGGAGGTGGTTGAGGGGCCGAGCAGAAGATTGTGATCCGAGCTTTGGCCTTGGCCGCTCATTGGCTGCTCCTCGTTGAAACCCTAACCGACGGGGAGACCAGGGGAGGATAGGAGAACAGCGGGGAGGAGAAAGGGGAGGGAGGAAAAAACGGGAACGAAACAATGCTTTTAACGGAGCGAATTGAGCGAATTGGATACGATAACGAAAAGGCCAAGAGCGAAGAGAGGCCTCGTATAAGAATCTTGTGCGATAAACGAAGCCTGGACGATCTTGTTTTATCTTTCATATACAAAAATATTTCTGGAATGACCAACTTGTAGCACGCTCACCATGGTGACTCTCCCGCGGTTGAAGCCACTCGACCTTCCGCTACTCGACTGCTCGGGAATCCGGGAGTCACGTGGGGTGTTCCCGCAATGTTCGGAATCACTAATCGAGCGACGTTGGCGAAGGTGGTTACTGTGGTTCGGCGACAACTTTGTGTGCATTAATCAAGACTCGCCGCGTCTGTTTCGCTCTCAGGCTGCATCACGTGCCATTACCGCTCATCCGCATCAGCGAAGGATTTTTGCGAGGAATTTCGCATAGTCCCGGAGCTCCAAGCGATGGGATCCTGGACAATTTCGCTGCCTTACAGTACACTGCAAAAGGAAAGCCACTACGCCAAGGAGGTTACTCGACTGGTTTCGAGACACCTCTAAATGCAGCTTGTTGCTACGAGGCGAGCTTGTGTCGCGACTGGTTACTCGAATTCGCACAGGCGAACAGCCCTCGAATCAATTCAAGCATTGGACGGCAAATACCTTTTTTGGGAATTGCGGAGGAGGTGATGGAGGGGAAGCAGCTGCTGTCTTGTCCGCGCTGTAAGAGTAGCAAGATCGATTTCAAGCAAAAATATGTGATAGCAAACACAAGTGTGTGTACAGTATTCTTGGGATGTTTGAGCGGTGCAAAGCGGTCTATTTTACCTCCTTTCATTTCTGCTGGTTTCGTTCAGTTGCAACTTTTGTGCAGTGCAGTACGTTCAGAGAAGGTTTGACTTGATAGAATACAACTCGCTCAAGGACTGACACACAACAGTAAGGGCGTGTGTGATTTTTGATTTTGCCATAAGTTTATGTTTTTGACTCGATTTAACCATTTGAACATGACTCGACTTTGAGCATTGGCAATGTTCGAACCGCAGGTGACAATGATTGTAGATTCACAATCACACACGAAAGTGCGAATTTGCAGGTTCGAGATTACAGGGGAGGAACCGAGCCGCCTAAAGGGTGCGTAGGTTACCTGGTATTGTCTTCTTGACAGCGTGTCACGTCAACGAATAGCTGCTAAAAAAAGTGCCGGGGACGTAAGATTCGCGAGCGGGGGACTCTGCTACGGGTCTCGGATGTGCCTCCATTGGTGCACGAAAACTTCGCGAGTTTCGCTGGTTCCTCGTACGTGCCTGAAACCAAACACGTTCGGTTCAGTGTGCAACACAAAGTTTGTGCACATACGGTATTCGAATCTTGTTCACATTTGTAGGTTCGCACCTGGTACTCTAGAAATCGGAGTCACCATTGGCGAAGTTTTTTGCGAACATTCACGAAACTGGCTACCACCTAAAGCTGACCTAATATATGAACCCCAAAACAAATCACACACGCCCTAACCCACTCAATTCGATTCGGGCTCTCCTAGCGACCCACTCGCGCGCAAGAAACACCATCAGGTCCCATTTTATTCACGTCTAGGTTAGTCAACACCTATGTGTGGCCGTCATGTCAGCCCTGATTGCTAGCGATCCTGTGCATCCGTCGGCCAATCAAGTCACCCCAATCGACGCACAATGTAGAATGGGAGCGATCGACGAGATACCTAGTCAAGTTGAGGGGGGAATGCATGAAGCAGGACCAGCGGAAGGAGCGGAAGGAAGGGAAGCAGCCGAAGGGGAGGTGGGAGGGGAATTGGGGGAAAGACGAGGAGAAGAAGCTTCGATGGCAGTGGTAAGGGAAGGGGAGGGAAGAGGCGAAGGGGAGGGGGCGGGAGGAGCAAGAGAGGGGACAGATGCAGCAACAGGGGGGACGGCGTTGGATGCGGCAGAAAACGCGGAGGGGATGGAGGGAGCGGGAGAGACGCCGGCAGTTGCGGACTGGCCTCTGCTGCAGTTCTCGCAGCCCGCTCCCGCCTGTCGCGCGCTGATCTGGCAGTGCTTCCGCGCTGACGCGGACGCTGACGTGGCAGGCGACGTGGCGACTGACGTGGCAGCCGGAAGAAGCGGAGGGCGGGGGTGTGTGGAGGGGAGTGCGGCGGGCAGGAAGCGGAAGGCTGGGTGTGAGCGTGTGGTGCGGAGCCGACGACAAGTGGACCCTTCTGGGAACTTTCTCAAGGGCGTAAAGTGGTGAGGTGTTCCTGCTTGTAAGCCTGGCCTTTCTAAGCCTTAACCAGGTGGCCCAGGTTGTTGCCTCTTCGAGCCTGGTTCTTGCTGCACTCCTAACGAGCTCTGGTATATGAGAAGAAATGTTTCACATCATGTGTTGTAGTAGCCATTGCTGCTTGTCCTTTCAGAATGCATACGGTTGCCATCCATCCCAACCGGCGTTTGTTGCTCCTGCTGTGTCCTTGGCGTGGCACGGCAGGTCGCCAGATGGCACGTGTCTATTGGCTTCCAGCGAGGATTGCTGCCTGCGCCTCTTTGACCTGTACGTGACATGACATGCCATCCCAATACCACATCATGCTATACCATGCCAAGCCATGCCGTACCATGCCATGCCCAGCAGATCTGACCCAACCCACCCTGTGGTGATTTTTGAGTCTACCTAAAATCGCCGAGGCCATAGTGATTAGCAGATTTGACCCACCCTGCCATGTTGTACCTCTTGTGCTTCTGCCCTTTTCCTCTCTGCACTGGCAATCCTCGAGTGAAATATCTAATTTGTTTCTCTCTGCTTCCTGCTCACCGCTCCTTCAGCCCTGCTGACATCATGCTGGCGTCATCTGCCCCATTTGACATGAACAATGAGGCCACACTCCCCAACCGAGGTATGCTCAATACTCGTGCATGCACTCCACTCCTTCACATGCAACGCACAGCACATGCTGACGTCATTATGGCACAATTCTTTCCCACCTGTCCCTCCTCTCCTCACTCCTCCCTTTCCTCCCAATCCCCCTCCCCACGGGCTGCCCCCGTCTACTCCCCCCATTCTCTCTCCACGTCTCTTCCCCTCTTCTACCCGCCCTCGCTCCTCCCCCCTTTCTCGTACCTGTCAGATTCGCTGGCACCGGCAGTGATGGTCAGGGAGGGGGAGACCATCTATGACTTCGCATGGTTCCCTGCCATGTCAGCAGCTGGTATGCCATGTCAGCAGCTGGTATGCCATGTCAGCAGCTGGCATGCCATGTCAGCAGCTGGTATGCCATGTCAGCGCTTGTATGCTGTGTGATCAAGAGTTTGATTACCGGCAAACGAAAGGGAGAATATCCATACTATGTGTGTGCCCCGTGTCTGCTTAATCCTCTCCCCTCTGCTCTTGCCCACATAGCGACATCTTTGTCTCACACACACCGGATCATTCCCCGGCCCACACCGCCCCATCTTCTCTCGTAGCGACTCACCACACACAATTTCTCATGTCATGTAGGCACTGCACCGCACTGCACTGCACTGCACCATGCACCATGCACCATGCACCATGCACCATCCCACACTCACACCATCTCATCTCCCACACGATCACACATACCCAGTGTCATGTGTGTGTGCGCCAACACTGCCACGTCATCACTTGCAGACCCGGTGTCATGTGTGTTTGCATCAACATCAAGGGACCACCCCGTGCACCTGTGGGATGCCATGACCGGCCAGGTGTGCTCTCAGGTGGTGGCCCGCTGTGCTCTCAGGTGGTAGCCCGCTGTGCTCTCAGGTGGTGGCCCGCTGTGCTCTCAGGTGGTCCGCCAGGGCTGTTCAGGTGTTATACCAGGTGTTAGGTGAGGTGGTTGGTAGGCCAGGTGATGGACGAGATATAGCTGCTGTCCGCTCTACAGCGTCCCGTTTCTCCTTCAATCATGCCCCACTCCTTCAATCATGCCCCACTCCCATGTCTCATCCAGACAAAGGTGTGCTGTGCTGCACGTACCAAGGTGACTTTTGAGTCGACTCAAAAGCCACCTTGTCTCATCCAGCTGCGCTGTGCTGCACGTACCGCGCACATGACCACATGGACGAGATCGCCATGCATGTGTGCGTATTGCTACTGCGTTGAATGTACCGAAATGCACTCCTCCCGACCCTCCCGCACCATACCACACCAGCTGCGCTGCACGTACCGATCATATGACCACCTGGACGAGATTGCTGCTGCCCTCTCCCTCACCTTCTCTTCTCAAGGAGACAAGTGAGTGGTGAGTGAGGGAGTGAGTGAGGGAGTGAGTGAGGGTGCGCATGAGGGTGTGAGTGGGGGAGAGCGATGGAATGGAAAGAATGAGTGCGCGAGTGAGTAAACGAGTGATTTGTGTAGGAAGATCAAGTGAGTTGAGTGGGTGAGTGAATGAGTGAGTGAGGGATTGAGTGTATTGCTGAGGGATTGTTGTCGGGGAAACGTTGTCAATAGGGACTGTTGGAGAAGAAGACATTTGAGGCGCCTCAAAAGTTGTCGGGGAAACTGTCAACAAGGACTATTGGAAAAAAAGCATAAGTGGTTGACTAGCTGGATCAGAAGAGTGGGGTGGAAGAGGGAAGGAGAGAAGGAGAGGAGGAGGAAGGGGGAGGGGAAGATGCATCTAAATCTGATATGGAAGCCAATTTAGGGTCGGGGCAAAATCAAAAACCAACCGTCAGGAAAGAAACGAGTGTTAGGTTCATTGTCCACCCACCCACCCACCCACCCACCCACCCACCCACCCACCCACCCCCCCCACCCACCCACCCACTCAACCGCCCACCCAACCACTTCTCCAAATGTCTTCTTCTCCAACAGTCCCTATTGTAGGAGGGTGTTTTGCTGTCATTGCATTGAGGGGGAAAGGATCAAGCAAGTGATTGAGGCAAGTGATTGAGGCAAGTGATTGAGGC